GGACTATTTATTCGACAGGGAGAGGACCAGCATAAACCTGTTAATCTATCCCAGTTGGCCTCTTGTGAGATTTACATGTATTATTTATGGTATTGTTATGGAGTGGCATAACAGAGGACCCTAGGCATAACAGAGGACCCGACCCATCAAGGAGAGCCTCCAACCACTGATTATTCGATTAAGCAGGGGGTAAATAGTCACTTCACAACAATTCCCTTCTCCATCGCATACCTTCACAATTGTTGTTCCAATCACTCTCGAAAACGTGGCAAGGAACAACATTTTTTTTCCATCGTAGATTGGAAAAGAGTAATTAACGCAAGTAAACATTTAAAAAAACATCGAATTTGTTGAAAAAATCTCAACCTTCGAAATTCAAAGAAAAAAATAGTTGACCTTTAAGCTGTTTGAAGTTATAGAAAATTTATGATTGGCGCTTTTTTGATAACATTATCACATTATCCCAATTGGAGAAAATTGCATCAACAGGTAAAGTTTTTATTCCACTAGAAAACAAAAAAACTGAATTCCACTTTAAAAACTAGAAAATGTTCGTGGCAACTGAAATTCAAGTAACCTTAAAAAAAATTTCATCCTCGAAAAAATAATTTCAAGCGTGAACAAACTCTGGCACTTTTTCCAAAAAAAAAAGAAAATAAACAAGCTAGATAACCACCGTCACTTGATTCGTTGACACACAAAATCAAAGTTAATAAATTGAGCGTTACATTATTTCACCAGGAAGTCAATTTCTTTGTTCACATTATGCATTCTAAGTCATTTTGGAATCAACTGTTTTAATTTATTCACTTTGAGCTTCTTATTCAGAAATTATACGTCAGTTTTCTTTTTCAGTTAGGACTATTTATTCGACAGGGGGAGGACCAGCATAAACCTGTTAATCTATCCCAGTTGGCCTCTTGTGAGATTTACATGTATTATTTATGGTATTGTTATGGAGTGGCATAACAGAGGACCCTAGGCATAACAGAGGACCCGACCCATCAAGGAGAGCCTCCAACCACTGATTATTCGATTAAGCAGGGGGTAAATAGTCACTTCACAACAATTCCCTTCTCCATCGCATGCCTTCACAATTGTTGTTCCAATCACTCTCGAAAACGTGGCAAGGAACAACATTTTTTTTCCAGCCAACTTTGATTAACTCAAAGAAAACTCCCTAGTGTGTGGTCAAGTGTGGCATCATAATAAAAGCTTTTCAGCTGCCATTTGGAACTTAAACTAAAAAAAAAAAACGTTTCTGAGTACAGACAAACTGGTCTGAATTTGTGGCTTTTTTAGACTCAAATTTAGCCATGGCACGTTTAGTGAAGACTCAAATCAAGCGGAGAATCATTTGAACAATACATTGCGTGCTAATTCCACAGCAACAAGCTATCATTGCCCTAGCTATTCTTTTATATTAATCTTTTAACTTAGCCTGGCTCCTAATTTTTGATTCTGAAAGTCAATATGCTCCTTTAACCAAAACATAAACAATCGAAGATTGGAAAAGAGTAATGAACGAAAGTAAACTTTTAAAAAAACATCGAATTTGTTGAAAAAATCTCAACCTTCAAAATTTAAAGAAAAAAAAGATGCCCTTTAAGCAGTTTGAATTTATAGAACGATTTATAATTGGCGCTTTTTTGATAACATCATCACATTATCCAGATAAACTGGTCTGAAATTTTGGCTTTTTTAGACTCAAATTTAGCCATGGCACTTTTAATGAAGACTCAAATCAAGCGGAGAATCAGTTGAACAAAACATTGCGTGCTAATTCCACAGCAACAAGCTATCATTGCCCTTGCGATTCTTTTATATTCATCTATTACTTTAGCTTGACTCCTAACTTTTGATTCTGAAAGTCAATATGCTCCTTTAACAAAAACATAAACAATCGTAGATTGGAAAAGAGTAATTAACGCAAGTAAACATTTAAAAAAACATCGAATTTGTTGAAAAAATCTCAACCTTCGAAATTCAAAGAAAAAAATAGTTGACCTTTAAGCTGTTTGAAGTTATAGAAAATTTATGATTGGCGCTTTTTTGATAACATTATCACATTATCCCAATTTGAGAAAATTGCATCAACAGGTAAAGTTTTTATTCCACTAGAAAACAAAAAAACTGAATTCCACTTTAAAAACTAGAAAATGTTCGTTTTTTTTTGCGCCACGTTCGTATTTGGAGAGTGCTATTTACGTCACTTTCAGCAGATGAATTTCAATTGAACTCAAAAATTGCATATATACCTAAATGCATTCATAAATGCATCAATATGTATGAATGCGCTTCTGTAATTATTAGATACTTTTATGCACATTTTAAGATTTTTTCGCGAAAAGAAAAACAAAAAACTCAGCACAACATATATAAGGGTCTTCACTGCGTTCCTTACTCTTATATACAATTTTGCATGTAAGAAATTGCATATCATAAAGACACATTATAAATAAATTATGCATTTCAAAAAATTGCTAGATATATTGAGTTAGAAAACTTTTGAAAACAGGATTTTATTATTGTTATGTTGTTTGAAACAAATAGCTTTCTTCGGTTGACTTGATGAATTAAAAATGCATCAGCTGTGTAAACTTATAACTATTCGAATGTCAAAGCACATGTTATCAATAAGCTGTAAGGGTGCAACAAATTGGCAATCATTTTGTATTGCCAATTCGATGCAGCAAATGGTGATGCTTTCAGTCGCAACAATATTTGCGACTTGGGTTGGAAAAAAGAAAGTTCGTACTATAAAACTTTTTTCACAAGTGTAATCACACTAGCTCACTATATTTCAAAAATCTTTCTGATTTATGTTTACAGCAAAAATCCAAAAAAAAAATGTGAGCAAAACAACTACATATGGCCCTAGACTTCGTTGAATTTCTACATCATTTTATTATTGGCAAGTTTTTGATAAAGTTAACCCAACTTATTTCCGCCTTTTTGAATTTTTTCATTCTTCAATTAAAAATTTTTATTTTAGTTTTTATTTTAAAGTTTAATTTTTATTCCGCGTTTTTCCCAAATGGGATTGACTTAAGACTATAACTGACAGAGCCATACTTGCTTTGCATTTTAGCGGAAAAAATATGGTGCAATTCAATTTGCGAAGTTCGGGCAAAAACGAAAAGTCAATTGCTGACAAAAAATAAATCAAACTGAGCTTATTATGCCTCAACAAAATTAACTGAGGCGAAGCTTTGCTTCTCAAACACTTGCAAGAACACGACAAAAAAACAGCTTTCAAAAAAGCAAATAGAAAAAAGTGAAATAAGCCTCGAATTAGTAATAATTCGACATGTCTCGTATTCGATCCTGCAACCTAGAGCTTATGAGTCAAACCACTAACCACTCAGTCACGGACGCTTAATGAATATCAAACAAAAGCCACACATAAAGCAGTGAACAGATGCTCAAAAATTTCCCATGCTACAGATCGCGATTAAAGGAACAGTACCAGCAGATAAGTGAAAACTTTCATTTGCGAGTTAAGATAGAAAAAAAGAAGGTTCGTACTAATATACTACGCTGCTCGCAAGTGTACAGAAGGGTATATTCATCTATTTATATATTTATATAACTCAATTTTTTTCTTTTCATAGCCAAAAAATGTCAATTGTATTATGTAAAGTTCCATTTTTTACACAAAGGCTAAGCTTCGCTTCGCAAACACGACAAAAATACGACTAAAAGCAGCTCTAAAGTGCAATAAGAAAAGTCCTCGAATTAGTAAAAAAAATCGGCTAGGCCTCGAATTCGATTTGCGGCCTAGAAATTGAGTCTCACAAAGAAACAACTCAGCCACGCACGCTTAATACATCACAAACTTTAGCCAAAACAAAAGCAGAGAACAAATGCTATGAATTTTCCAATGCTCGATCGTAGTTAAAGCAAAAGTGCCATCAAATAAGTGAACACTTTCCACTTTCATTGAACACTTTTACTTCCGAGTTAGGCAAAAAAAGTTCGCACTAATACACTACGCTGATTGCTTGTATATAGACAATTTTTCGTCAATTTCTGGAGATTATACCTTTCCTAATCTTTTTGCAATATATACAAGTCAGCCATTTTTGTCAGCAATTGAACCAACAGCTTTAGCGTAATTTTTGATTGACAAAAAAGCCGAAAATGGTCGCTTTTGGGATAAAATTTTGAGCCCGAGGTTCACAAATTAATTCACCATTTTGATTCTGCTGATATTCTAAGCATTTTTTGTCTTCATCACTTTGTGTCTAAAGTCATCCCCATTTGAGAAAAACGCGTTTTAAATTTCAAGCATCATTCGTTTTTTTTCCGGATAATTAAAATCAGCACTGTATAGCTAATTGCATTCATAATGCATTAATAGGTATGAATTCACTTCTAGTTATTAGAGAATTCTTAAAGATTTTCCTGAAAAAAAAACAATTAAAAACAATTAAGAAAAAATCACCGATACCTATATAGGACCTATACAAGAGTCTTCACTACGTTAATCGACTCAAAAAAACAAATTCAATAAAATTTTACAGCGTATATATTGGTAAAAAGACCGGGCTCTTTTCCAGTCCCCCCCCCCTTTGTGAAATTATGAAAAGAGATGTTCAAAAATTGTTCACACGGCAATTTTCATGTTAGAAATGTTGTGAAAATTTGTTCAGCTGTTCACGCTGACACGTTTTAATGCAGTTTATAACATTAAAAATTATTTTAAAAAGACTTTCATGTAATGAATTTCAGAAAAAACGAAAGGGGGGGGGGAACTGGAAAAGAGCCAAAGACCGAAAGTTCATTAAAAAAATTTAAAAATATTGGTAAAAAGACCATTAAGGATTCCACGGTGGTACACATGGGCCCAAGAACACACGTGTACCGCATGCATACATGTCGTCACGTGTGAAATCTGCGAACAAAGTTCTTTACAGGGGAAAAATCAAGTTCCCGGTTGCATTACACTAGCTCTCGCATGTGTAATAAGGACGACGATAAATTTCAACTGAACGTACCTCGATTATATTTCGTTCGTAGAACTCCCAATAATTTCCCAATTGAATCCACACATCGGGCGATCTGGGGCACAATTTGACTGCATGATTCAGCAGCTTTTTAGCTTTCTCTCTCTTGCTTCCACTCATTAGGATGTGATTGGCAGCTTGCATAGCTTGAACTGCTTCTTGCGTCAGCAGACTCCCGTCTGGCTTTAACTTGGACACGTGCAGATGTGAGGTGGAAATTGCACTTTTGGTGGCGTGGTCTGAAAGGATCATTACGTTTCCAGCTGTAAGCTGACGAGCAAGAATGTTTAACACTAACAGTACGAAATTAAAGCTAAGTTAGTCAAACATTTTCACTGGATAAAAACTGATAACATAGCCAACAGTCAATTGGAAGAGAGTCAATGAACGCAAGTAAACATAATAAAATACATACTTGCTTTTTTGAAAAAATGTCAAACTTCGAATTTCAAATTTATGGCCATGAAGCTCTTTGATCTTCAACAAAAATATACGATTAGCAATTATTTGATAAGCTTTGCTTGTGTAATATAACTAACCCAATTTGAGAAAACCAGGATCATATTTAAAATTTCTATTTCGCTGGTAAATCTGATAATTAAAATACATTGTCGCAATTGGAAGTCGATCACGTTTTCCATGACCTTTACACTTTTGCTGTTTGATAGTGGAGTTCATCTTCCTTACAACAAAGGAAATGAACTACACTTAAAAAGAAATCAAAAGCCAAACCGCCAAAAAGTAAATTTAAGCCTGAAAATTTTAAGATATTTCCTGAAAAAATCATCACGACCTATATAATCTACGTTCATCGACTCTTAATCATTTGAAGCAATAGTAAGCAATTGACAAAAATCATTCTCGTACTTTTTAATGGAACTTGATCATTTTGATCCGAGTAATTTGATAAATTGAAAAATAGTTTTTTTTTGAAAAACATTATGAAAAACAGTAACTCATTTCTTTTAAGCGTTACATTTAAAATCCCGCTTTTCCTTCACAATTAACTTTAAGCTTCATGTTATTCTTTCATTGCAGAAACAATTTCAGACAAACTTCGCCTCACTTACCACTTTCTAGCGGTTGTTCATCTTCACGATTAACAGTCATAGGAAAAGTCGAATACTTAATCAGACCCGAACTGGAACTAGACACTGAATTGAGCAACCACTTCGAAGTGTCGAAAGGCCTGTAGCTATTTGCTATGATACAAAATGCACCCACTATGCAAACCACAATGGCAAGTGTCGATACAAATAAAGCAACAAGAATCCATCGCCACAATGAATTCAGCTGCGAATTTTTAGATTGATATAATTGGTCTTGCAAATCTTGTCGCTTATTCTGATTATCGGAATGTTGTAACTTTCGATGGCAGCTATCAGTATTAAGCGAAAAAGAATCAATGTCTGTCTTTTCTGTTTCGAAGGGGGTTATTTTTTTTCGAGTCGATTTGTGAAAGTTTCTCACAATTTCATCTACTTCTCGGACTTCGGAGGGGGAAGCTAGACTATGCCGGAAACTTTGTCTGGTCATTTCGATTTGTCCATATATCGTTTTTTTTTTTTGAAAATACTATTTAAGAGTTGAAATTAACGTTTACATTGCAACCTAAAATTTGAATTTGCATGAATCTGAAAGACAAAAATTACTAATAAAACTGGAGGTGCACGTGCAGCATACCATTATCTTCTTATGGAAACTTAAATTTTAAACCTACTTTAAAAACTACTAAAATCAATTATTTTTTCTAATTGCAACTAGAAAATTTATTGCATTCGCAAAGACTGTTTAACTTGTTCGAAGAGTTCTTCGGCGTTTCTTGAACTTCTTATCGCTTATCATCAGCAATCGCTTTCATCATTTCTGATCAACTTGGCTCTTTAACACCAAAAATTGCTTCAATTCAAAACCCATAGATATTTCAGCTGGTGAATATTTTGGACAGGATATCACTACTGAAATTTTTTGATACCGAAGAACCTTGACCCGCTGGCCTTGAACCCTTTTTCTTCGTCACTCCATTTGATCCTGAATAACCTCCCGAGTCCTTTCCCAACTCAGCAAACTTCCGTTTATTATGATGCACTTTGTCTCCCCATTTCAGCGTTCGCTTCTCTGCCCTTTGTTCGTGATCTCGCTTCATAGCCGCACTCTGTCGTGAAATATCTTTGTACACGTTGACTTCTCGTCGTGCTTTTAAAATCTCTTCACGCATTTGTCTATGAGGTGGCACTACAGATTCGTTCAATTGATCCCACGTAAATTTGCTAAAAACAATATCAACTTTGATTTCATTTAGATAACATATGACTAGTTTTCGATTCTCACTACATCGCAACAAACTTTCTGTTTTCTGACTTATTCTGCGATATTTCGATGCTCAGATGGGCCACTTACTCATTCACGATACTAAATTTTATACCAGTGCAACTTTTTTAAAACTCGAAAACAAATGTTGAAGAAGGGGTGCAACATTTTTTGCAACAATTCTCGAAGCTACTCGACACGCTTTTAAATGCCATTTTCCTAGGACCGAAAAGGATCAGTTTTCAGTTAAATTTTTGGACGTCTGAAATTTCTGAAATCAATTATCTTTTTTAAAATTCGAAAACAAATGTTGAAAAAGGGATACAACATTTTTTTTCTAGCAAATTCGCAAAGCTACTTTATTTTCCCAGGATTTTATTTTCCTAGGACTGAAAAGGATATAGTTTTTAACAAAGTTATTGGACAACGTCTTGAATTTCTGAAATCATTGATCTTCAAGCTAGAACTAAGACGAAATAGTCCTTTAGCTAGAACTAAGACGAAATAGTCCTTTGAAATTTCGCGTACACCTATTTTTCGGCGGCATATGTGAATTAGCTCTGTGAATTTGCATGGCAGATCGATCTTGAATCAAAATTCTTTGGAAGTTGTGGGCTGGGGACCCAGAATTTAGCAGACCAATCTTCAAGCATAAAAAGTAAAATTGAGTCTTTTAGCAGACTAGCGTAATGAAGTGATGCATGATTGATTGACAGACTAAAAAAACGCTCAGTCTGGGGTCACGCTTCCCCAATTAAGACAATCATCTCACGATTTGTCAATAAAACTATCAACTTCAAAAACACAGTCCAAATTAACGGCAAAACAAAGACTTACGCGCTCAATAACACTCTTGTTGAATTGAAGCGCAGCGGGGCAAGCGGTCGCTAATCGCCAATGCCTCGTTTGAAGTTAGCCTTCTGACTTAATAATTGTTCTGAGTCTGCAAAAAAAAATTGTCTGCTAAAAAAAACGGTTCGCTAAAACCCCTAGCACCTTGTGGGCTTGAGTTTATTCAAAAGATAGACGTCTCTGAAAAAGTGTAATCGTTTCGCTGTTTTTTAGATTCTTTTTGCAATTTTGAATTTTTGGTTGCAATTTCAACAACAGCGGCGTCCCCTATGAAGGGGTGCCTTTGTTAGATGGAAATTTTATTTAGCGAAAACAAAATTGTTAAAAGAAGGCAATACTTCCAAACGAGAAAGTATCCAATTTAGCAGAAATCCAGTAGCAACATTAGTCATTAGTCTGTCCGGCTATTTAACACAGAGGCGAAGTTGCAGTTCGCATACACAAGCAAAAATATGACTGACAACGCTACTGGGAAAAACTGAGTAAAACTTTGAGTCTACAAAATATCTTAAATGACGCACGCCAATTATGAGTCTACATAATTGCTAAGTGACGCAAGCCAATTATGACGCATTAGCAGTACCAAACGATTTGAAAAGAAATTTACCAACTAACTTGCCTCAATTTATAGAGCGGACGCATTTAAACTAGAATACGAAAAATTTCATTTAAAACATCCGACCCTGCTGAGGTTCAAACCCTCTTATTTTGCTGCTGGTCTCCTTCCCTACCTCTACTCTACAGATCTATGCTGCCTTGAAGCTAAATTGCTATCTGTAATATAATAGTCTGTGTTAATATCCTTAGCATTGGCTGTACTTAATAGCTGGATCAAAATGAACACTTTCAAAATGCACATATTTTGTCGCAACAATATTTGCGATTTAGGTTGGAAAAAAAGAAAATTCATACTATAACACAAGCTATGCTTGTTTTAACAGCTGCATCATGTAAAGAATTGAACCATCAAAACATAGCGGCGGAAACAATTTAATTCTTTAGAATGGATGTAGATAGAAAATTAATTTAAAAAGCAGACTAAAAGATTCCTTACCAAAAACACCGAGTGATCCCGATTTTAAATACACAAACAAAACTATTGAAATTGACCTAACCCTTAAATACACTCCGATTATGGCATTTAAGCAAAGTTTTCGGGTTCTTGTGATTTTGCTTCCCAGTTTTCGTAGAACTCGAGGACTGCTCAAGTCTCGAAACTTATGCTACTATCACAGCTAAAAACTCTTTTTGATGATATCATAACAGGAATTTGGGGAAAACTATCGATGGTTACCCATTTTTTTTTACACCACGACAAAAATATGCTGGTTTTCGGTTCATTTTAAGGCGTACGTTGTTTTATTGCAATCTAATCTAAGTTTTCTCGCCGATGGGACTCCCAAAACATCATCATTCAAATACATGCAACTTTATATTATGTTGCAGTGGGAACTTCTGCCCGAAAAAAAACCGAAACTCAATATACCCAATTATTTGAAGTCATCAGTGTTCAGTTTTCAAAAAGGTAAGGCTTAACATTCAGTCCCAAAACGTTTTCTTTCCAGATTATAAACTGATATTAGGCCTGATAGCCGCTTTGAAAATCTCACTACCCATACAACTAATCTAGGATAAAATTTTGATCAATCAAGCTGTCTTTCGAAAAAGTCAAATAACAGGATTTGCTGTATCCTATAATATGAGCCCTAAAATCCAGCAATTCGCCAAAAAAAGTTTGCCGTTTTTATCACCTGGGCTAAGGTGCGGATTTTATCACCAAATTTCTGTATCACACCCAAGAGCAACAATTTTTTGGATTATGCAAAATTTTTTTTGGATAAAACAAGTCGGTTTTTGCATAAGGAACGTCAACTATTGTCAGGGTAATTTGCGTACCCACTAACCTTTGTGAAAGCTGGCATGCTTTCTGGACCCGTGATATTGGTCGAAACAAGCCTTACTATGGCTTGTAAAAAATTTCCGATGATAACAGGAAAAAATTTACGTTGTACTTAAAAAAAGAAAAGCGATCGCCCGACCCCCAGAAACGAGTTTAGCGAACGCTTAATGCACAGCTAGAAAAACTCCGTATTTCTTATGAGTCTGAGGTAATAAAAATTATTAATAACTTATTGGTCAAGTATTGTCCTAATTCACCGAACTTTTTCATATGTCTATAAATTATTCAATTCACGCTATATCTATTGTTTAATGTTTGGAATTTTCCAATTTTCCGATATATATATATATATATATATATATATATATATATATATATATACACAAATTTTTTTGTTGATTTATAATGCATCCAAATCAAATTATACCGGAACGATTTGTTTCAACGAATAATTATTTCCGTCTAAAATATGCAGTTTTATTTTCGCCTAATATAGTTTTCGCCGAAATATATAGCCTCGCCCTTTATGATAGAGACCGGATGATAGAGAACTATGTTCGAAACTTCGGGTTACAATTTCAACTCCACTTCTTTTTCAACCCTGCGTCCTTTTTGATGGAGATCCAAGGATGCAATATTTTTTTAGCCAATCAGAAGTGAGTAGAATCAGAATCAAAAAAATATGATTCAAAATCTGAACGAAACTTGGCTGTACTGCGAAAATTCTTTTTCTGCTAAAAAAAAATGAATGCGATTTTGTGCGACGTTAGCGGATAGCAACGCCTAATAATTATGCTTGGTTGAAATCGTTTGGTCCCTCCATGAAAATAGCCCCCTTCAACGCCATTTCGGTATCTTAAGTTCAGTATCATTTCAGAAATTTTAAACGTTGTCCAATAAATATGCTGAAAAACTACATCCTTTTCGGTCAACGAATTTGAACGAAATTAATGAACCCAAAACTCAAATTTTGAGGGCACAAATCATTATTCACTCATTTCAGAACGTAAATATCATGTGAAAAAATCCAATTAACCTAACAAGCTGTTGTTTTTTTTAACCAATTAAGGAGCTCAGGGTCACCGATATTGCCGATAAAATGACATTAAATTAATCGAAACATTCAAATAAAAAGTGAGACAGGCCAAGGCCAAATGAAATGATCCAAACTAAACAAATATGAATTTTCCCGACAGTCACTTTAATGCCCCCAACTATTTATCCATTCTGGCATATTTAGTAGCATATTTAACAGCTTTGACTTGTATATCATAAACTGTTTAGTTAAATCGTCATAGAGTGGTAATCATATTCGAACGTCTGAGAGAACGAACTTAAGTGACACTTACTTTTCGTTGCTCATTTTACATTTGCTTGCTCTAGTTCACTTTCGATTGCAACAGAAATATGAAAATAATCAATGAACAAGACTGCTCGTATCAGGGCGAAGCCCTGAATGTTCCGACCGCCTTTTAATGTTTATGGAGCAGTAATAACAAAAAATTAAATGAGTTACAACAAAATGAATTTTTTTCCTCTAAAACTTGAATTTTTTAATGAAAATTATCCCCCCACACGCCATATTAAGTACAAAAGGATAGGTTTCGCTCCTTTTACAAATCAATTATGGCAAATAAGCTTCTTTCAACCAATTTGGAACGATTTCTAAGACGGATTAAGCAGTAATAACATTAAAAAATTAAATGAATTAAAACAAAATGAATTTTTTTTTCCTAAAATTTATTTATTTTTTGAAAATCATCCCCCCACACGCCATATTAAGTTCAAAAGGATAGATTTTGCTCCTTGTAACAAATCAATTATGGTAAATAAGCATCTTTTAACCAATTTGGAACGATTTCTAAGACGGATTAACTCTCCGCTTACGCGTTAATAGCGCGAAATAAATGTCGCGCGTTAATTGTCCTAAATTGGCCAAAATGGCAATCTTTAAACCACCGTAACTTTACGAAAAATGATCACAGGTAAAATATCTTTTCAAATTTAAGCTCAGGACAACAATACCTTCCGAATGATATAAAAAAATTTCGTCAAAAATGGCTAGTTAAGAAGTCGAAATTTGTCTGAAGAAAAAAAAACCCACCCGTTAAAAAACCCAGCACAAATACCCAGCACAAATATTCCGTTACTTTCGTATCGAAAGTCGGAACAATAAACTGCTGTGGCATTTTGGATTTTATTCCAACT